GATGGCGTAATATTTTAAATTAGATGAAGTAGCACTTACCAACTCTAAGCCCTGTTCACTACCTGCAGATACCTGGTCACTTGTTGTCAAGTCGAGTTACTATCAAACAGTCTGAAGGCGCCAGCAATGCTCCTTTCTGATGCACCTAATATTACGCCTACTGTAAGCGCGCTATAGACGCGGTCGCTCCGAATACAAAACTTTAAACTTAAGGAACCCTGAACGTTAGGAAACCGACACGTCTGATATGTAACATTTTCCGTCCGACTTCCATCGACTACCTACACTAACTCTCAACTGTGTCCACTCACTGCTTTCCCCGCACAAGCCCCCGCAAACCCCGCCCCTGAGCGTAGCGATGAGGAATTTCTGACTACCCGCTTAGTCGAGAAAATAAAAAGTGAGTCATTGAATAAAACGAACCACAGTGTATCTTTACAGATCAAGATTGTTTTTACTGTTTACAACTAGATAAAAATCCTACATGTTTTTTGGTTTAAAAGTGGTATTCTAATTTGCCAATTTTATTGATTTTGAGGATTTAAAAATCTCTAAATATGATGCTACGATTAGATTCTACGTGTTTCGTTTTCCTTTAACTTATGTTAGACTAGCTGACGCCGGCGACTCTGTCCGCGCGATATAAAAAAAAATGTAACCTATGTGCGCTTTCAGGCTATGTTCTAAATCAAGTATGCCTTTCAGAGAGATCTATGCTGCCGTTTGTAACAAACATGCAAACATCCGCATTTATAATATTAGTAGGATAGTAAGATACATATAGAACGATTTAATCGGACTTTCTATTTCTATCTTGAAATAAAACAAGGTCGTCAATAGAAAATATTAAAAAATTAAAAATTGGCTGGTATTTGTCATCAATGAATTCAATATAATGTAGCAACTTTTGATTGATAAAGATATAATATTCAGGAATGTTTACGTAATTAAACCTTGACTTTATGTTGTTTGTGTGAATCGATATTAAACAGTAGTTTGGTCTTCTTTTTAATTGTCTAATTAATAAATATTATTTAATTAATTATGAAGACAGGTTTTGGCATAAATTGTCAATTATTTTAGTTCTATATTCAACAACAAAATTAATTTAGATGTACTTTTTTAAGTGTGTAATGTGTGTTGTGCAGCATTTTTTAAAATGCGTAAAATGGAACGGTCCTAAAATTTCGGAAATTTTAACTGTACTGGGAATCGAAATAACGACACGTGATACATAATGTTAGGAAGAAAATCCGAAAATGAGCCAGTGTATTGACTCAACATTAGCCTTACTAAAATGTCGACTTTTATGTCCCCTCACTATTCATTCTGACACTTGACTTCGTAACGAAAGCACGTCATTCGCGCCAAAAGATTCTAATTAATAATATGTAAAAAAAATAAAAAAAACAGTGGCATCGTCATAACTTTATTACATTTCCAAAAAAAAATGTTATGTAAAGGCATGTTCGAACGTTTGGCTCACACAGCATTGAATGCTAAGACCTTGCGCCAAAACAGTTCTTTAAATATGTGCATCATTGAATATGTTTATATAAATAAAAATTACAACTGAACCACTTTTCCATCTCAATATCTTTACTAAAATACACCAAATTAACTAATGCCACAACTGTTACATTTTTAATAAAAGGCTAGCTAAAGTCCGCGACTCTTTCTGCCTGGAATTAAAAAACAACCTAATTAGTATACTATGTGTTCTTCCAGGCTATGTTTTATATCTATGCGAAATTTCATCGACATCCATTGGGCCGTTTTGGAGAAACCTTCAAACAAACATCCATCCCTCCATCTCAACATTGGCATTTATAATATTAGTAAGAAGTAATATAAGATTTTATAGTAGTAAGGTCAGATTTTGTAAGAAAAATACCACGTAATTGATTTAAAAGGTAGTAATAATAGATAATAAGAAAATTGTGGGAGAGGGAATAATTTAACAAAATAACAATAAGTAACCAAATCCGTACCAAGTTCAAATTGAAATTGGGGTAATTTTTGGGGCAGTAAAGACCTAATATTAGCTGCCATTATTGATTCTCAACGATGTACATTGTTTATAGCGTCTCATTTTACATTATAACATGATATTAAAATTGCTGAATATATTTAACATTAAGTTGTTGGAGGAATTTGTATAGTGGATAATTACAGTAGGGCGTGGGCCGGCAGACGTCTGAGCCATCCGGCGCGGAGTCAACAAACTGCAATCAGGTGCAGCGACACACGTCTTGCAACGGCTTTTTATCTCAACACTATTTAGTAAGCTTGTACGTTTGATGCAAGATAAGTGTGAAGACGTTATACGCATTTAAATATTCAAAATAAGCTGTTTATGGCGAGGCATCACACCTTTACATGTGTCTTGTCGGTGGTAACTGTTAAGGGCCGTGCTTTAATCACGTGATGTTCTTAGTAATTTTTTGACCCCCATCCGCTCTTAAGCGATATATGGTGAGGTTTTAGACTGTCTCTTCTCGCCCTTAACCTAAAATCGATATTAATTTTTTTCATGAAGTTTAAGTTTTTTGATAGAAAATAAATACGCGTGAAATCTTATTTTACCCTCCCCTCCCTATCCGTGATGTTTTGTGATTTTTCTTGAGACCCCTCCGCACCATTTGTATGTCACGTGATTAATGGACGATCCCTAATGCAAAGTAAAAGTACAAAAACATCGTTATTCGAAAAGTTTTCAGTCCCATTTTTCCTATGTATCATCAAAAATGATATTAAACATATTAATTGTATTTGAATACTGAAACGGTCCTCATTTTAAACGTTTATGATAAATATATTTATCCTGTAAATATGATTAGTGTGTTTTTTACCTCGAAATGAAGTAAAATCTATTAAACCAAAACATTTGACTTTATCCTGGCTTTGAAAATAAATTAATTGTAGACATTTATTAACTTAGTACGAGGTGGAAAGACATCAAAAGGAACTAAAAATCATGGAAATACTGACCGAGATGACATCGAAACCCCAAAAAATAGAGAGTCGTATTTGCAGAGGCCAAGGTTTTTGGGCACTCTAGTTATTATGAAGGATATGTATATACACAAGTGCGAGGTTACGCACAATAAATTCTCCGCACCTGCGGTCACGCTCTGCTGACCGTACATATTCTACATATAATTCCACAGATTATCCAAATAAAATAAGCGGACACTGTCTCGAACAGAACAAAGAGAGAAAACAGGAAACACGACAATGCCAAAAACTTTCGATTGTATCGTACGTAGCGTTTATATTTAAATTGTTGCTCCCAACACTGAATTGCAGTCATTAGGCTTCACAAATGGTATTGTTTTTTTTTTATTTTAACACTAAAACTTTCTATTTTCTTAATATTAGTACTTAGAAAAAGTTAAGTGTGTAAAAATAACCTACAAAAATTATTGTCAATACAAAAAAAAAAACAAATAAGAAATGCTATTTGAATAGAATAATTCTTTAATCATTGCAACGCAACATTAAAATTCCTTGAACACACAATATTGCTTCATCCGGATGTAGGCAAGATCTAAGTTTTGCTTCTAGGTTATATGTGGGCATAACCTGTATGTGCGTCAACCACAATTGAAAACACACTGTGAAGAGAAGCTTTGGTTCCTCGTTATAATAAAAGAAAACAAGTTTGAGTGTTATTGCGGCAAAGCGGAACAAATCGATCAATAGCCCTCGCTGAAGAGTTCAACGCTGTCGAGGCCCCACAATCAGAATATCAAATTGTTATTCTAGACTTGTATCATTCCGTGAAATGGCTTTACATTTTTATTACGCCGTAGTAAACAATGTCGAATATTTGTGATTACAATGGGCTAAAACCATAAACGTTAATCAAGATAAACGGAACATATTTCTTTAACAAAAGAACATGTAATAGTCCAACCATTTGTCCTTAAGGACGCACTCGTTCCTTTTTAAGGCTTATCTTAGGAACCGCTTCTGGAACACAATGGCGGTAGGAGGGAGGGCGGGATTATGTACGGATACTTATGACGCTACTGTACTTGTTTCGTTGAACCGTGATCCTCCTTAGTGATAGTTTTACTACGCTTTAATGGACATTCTCGAGGCGGGATTTACAAGTTACGACGTACATTTATTTGAAAGGATATAACATCTTCAGAGTTGTGCCAATAAAATATACAAAGGTTAACGTCAATCTTGACCCGTTTAGGGATCAAACTAATAATATTTGCCACGGTTTTGTTAACTTTTTCATACTTTTCTATGAGATATCATAGATAAGAAACCTACCTACGTTGCAATTTTTAACTTTATGCAATAAATATATACCTACCTATTAGTAGCGAAGGAGCTGTGAACTGGAAAAACCGTTCTACAAAGAGCAGCGACTAACTACTCAATTATTATTCAATGTAACAAGACGTGGAATTGAAGCATGAATCACACAGCACGGATTTGAATTGAATGATACGATGATGTAAATCGCTGCGTTGTCACGAAAGTATTCGCTTATAAATAAATGAAATTGGGCTAATAGATTCAATTTATTTTGATGATTACGGTCGGTGTTGAATACTTTCTTACGGGCGTCAAATAATTGCATCACAGAGGTACGTGGCGACGCTGCGGGAGGGGCGAGGGAGTGGCGCCTCGCCGACGCACGCAGCGGACACGCAGAGCCAAGATTCGGTGGCAACGCTCACACAGGAATTCATTTAGCTTCGAGAAGTGTCCGGTTTCAGTCTGGCACGACGAGCGTTCGTGTTGCATTTACTATTTATTCATGTGTCGGGCGGGCGCAGGTTCTGCCGGTGCGGAGCGGGCGCCGATCGGGGCGGGGGCGGGGGCACACTTACTACGTGATTAATCCGCGCCCCCCGACCCGCGCGGCCCCGCGCCGTACTCGCGCCGGGTTTCCTCGTCCCCGCGCCTCACGGCCACTCGCTACGCACGGCGCCCCGCCACCGGCCCCGCGTAGTGCCGCGCCCGCCACCCGCCGCCGCTCGCCAGTCGCGCCGCGACCAGCGCCGACGTCGCACCGTTTGTAATCGCGCTCCCGCTGAGCCGACCTATGATATCATTCATGCTAATCTCCGCCCGTTGATTTTCCTGCCGAGTGACCGCAGTGAGACGGCCGCGATATCGCGTGTGCCGAATGTGCTCGGACGTCGCCCGTGTACTTTTCCATTGGATACCGAGCGCGCCCACGAAACCAGTTCTGAGTGACGGAACGCGCCTTTGGATGAGGTCTCCGTGTGAGCGTCTGTGACCCGCGGCCTGAGATGCTGCGCCCGTGACCGTCTCGCGACAGTGCCACGAAACGTAAGGATCCATACGTTCATTCGGACGGCCGGTTTTATTACCCGGCCGCCTTCCTATTCGCATGGCGCATACGAGTGAATTTTATTTTCGTCTGGCGGGTGTTGTGTGCGTGTGAGTGGCGGCGGCGCGGGCGGCGTGGTGTGCGCGGGCCGCGTGCATGCGCCGCTCGCCGCCGGCCATGGTTGCTGCTCCCTGGCCCGCTTTATTTAGGTTGTTTCTGAGCGTGGCGGTGCCTTCGACTGCCGCTCGCGCCCGTGCTCGCGTCCGCCTGCCGTTCCATGTTGTGATCGCCTAGGGCTGCCAACGACCGACCACTGCCTGCAAATACTTTGTCTGTTCGCCAGCTGTTAAATCATTCCGTTTATTAATGTTCCTTTTGACTTTTAATCGCTTTCATACGTAATCTGTTACTCAATTATTATAATCAAATCGACGTTAAGATGTCTTCGCAATGACAAACAATGTCATATTTTAGATACGCCTACAATCTCGGTTTTCGTATCAGAGATAACTCATGTTTGTATCTTGTCAGCTGTTTAATAATAACGTACACTTATCGAACATTATCTAAAGTTCTTACTATTGTAGTAGGTTTACATTGACACTTTTTCGATAAGTGTAACCTTCAGAACGTCCTTAGCTAAGCGTCTGCTAAGGAAGCTAGCACGTATTTAGCATTTAAATTAGGAAGACAATTGAATGATAATGACTGGTATTTATATACCGCGAGCACAAGAAGGTTGCAAATGCACACGGCAAATGATGCGCACAAATTGCATATTTAATAATTCGTCACATACTACATATTTACGTCATTGTCTTCAAAAACAGGAAACGGAGAGCTATTAGTGAAATATTTACAATTTTTTTCGGTACATTTCATCCATCATAAAAAGTTGACCTTTATTCAGTGTAATAGTTAATAAATTATGTTTTATAACAAATAGATTTAGCTCTATGATTTATAGACAAAGTGGAAGATAAGAGAAGCTGCTCGGCATGCACTAATTAATGAGATCAAATAATAACAAGTAGGAAAAGCACAAAGACAATTGTTAGCACATTGAGTTCGTTGCGATAAACTCTGACCTTACCGTACACACTGCTAGGGTAACTGTAATAAAATATAAAAAAAATGGCAACATTGACAATATTATTTTAATAATATTATTTAGCTCTCACTAAACAGTTTGATTAAGGACCCGATACAAAAGGCAGTTAGAAACCGCGTGCATCGTGAGAAGGTTTCTGTCTCTGCAGCCCTGACCACTGGTTGTTTGAGTCATGGGATTCCGCAGCCGGTGGTGTTCTATTTTTAATATAACATGTTTTGTATATTTTTTTTGTATATGAAATGTACTATATTAAAAATATGATAAATAAATGAATACGTGTTACAAATGGAAACGTTTAGATGGATGGAGGGTAGAAGGTATCACTAGAACGGCTTCATGGATCTCGCTGAAATTTGGCATAGATGTAGAACATAATCTAGAAGAATATATCGATACTGAATAAGTTTTTTTTTAATTCTGCGGATAGAGTCGTGGCCGACAGCTATTAAAAACAAAATCAAACGTCTTGTAGATTTAATTATCAATTGAAAATACAAAATGTTCTACAACATAAACAATAATAACATCGTTAAACAGTTAGAAAGAATTACTTAATAAATAAAGACATTGTCAATATTAAAAATAGATGCTATTTCGCGTAAACAACTTTAGTAACATTTCATGTTATTCTGGTTGTAGTACAAAGGTCAAGTTTGAAAAAAATATGTTTGCTATATTTTTGATGATTGCGCGATATTGCTATGTTATGCAAGAATGCTTGAATATAGGCAATATTGTACCAAATTTCTGTTGAAAAAGTAACAACTAATAAGTTTTATAAAATTTATTTCATACATGGATTATTTTAATATGTAACTATTATGTTTTCTTTTTGGCATTTTGATATGAAAAAAATACTTCGGAAGGAAGGGTTTATTGAAAACAGGAGAATTTTGAAAGGGGTCTACGAAAAAATGTTTGGTACTTCACGACTGCCGTGACTAATATTGGTGTCCCTGTCTTTTCGAACAGATTGTGAGGGATAAAAATATGTATTAATCCAAGTTTCATTGCATTTTTTTATGTAGAGAATAAATTCTGTCCAGGACTAATAGTAGTATGGTCAACCTACAAGCACTTGTTGAGACTTGTATCTTATATTGGCTCTCGCTTCATTAGCCGGAGCACTTGTAGGCGCTTTGCTTTCATCTTATGAACTACAAACGGCTTTGTATAATAAGGTTGTTATACCATTTGCATATATAAATATTTTTTTTTATATTTTTTTAATTTACTAATATTATAAATGCGAAAGTAGAATGATTGATGGATGTTTTTAAGAAGGTATCTCTAGAACGAATTCTTGGGTCTCGACAAAATTTAAAATAGAGGTAGAGCACAGTCTGAAAGAACACTTAGGATAGTCATTAACTTTTTTTTTAATTCTGCGCTGACGGATTCGCTGGCAAAATATTACATAGGTACATTTTTTCATAATTTAGGCCAATTAAATTATACTATAATTTGCCCTTGGCAACATTTTTTTAAGATGACCTGCCCTGGCAACATTATTAGCCTTCAACGAGAATAACTTTGAATTAAATTTGAATTTCGAATTAAAATTTCTTTATCCTTTGAGACACGATAAGCCCTAGTTACCTCCGCGCCACCTACACTGTTTTTTGTAACAACGGAATTTTCCATTTCTGAAATTTATTTTTCTCGCTTAATATTCGAGAGAATACAGTATTTTATTTTTCATTTTATCCATTTATGAGAGAGAGAGAGAGAGATGTCAGAATGGATGGATGTTTGTTTGAAGGTATCTCCGGAACGACTCAACGGATTTTGATGAAACACAAATATACACAAATATAGACTCTGGAAGAACAGATAGGCTACTTATTAGTTTTTTCAATTCCACGCGAACAAAGTCGTGGGCGACATCTAAACATATAGCTTATTTACAAACGACAATGTAATTTCCGTACTATATTTCGCAGTATATGTATATCCTTTGCGATTAATCTTATCACATATTACTATATTGAGTGCGTGATGTTTACATAGTTACGTAAACGATAAATATATATGATTTATATACTCAAACATATATGTAACTTGAAATACGTCAATAACATATTATGTTTGACTGCTAAATGATATGTTATTTTATCTTACTGTGATAAAGTTATTTTCAATTTTTACACCATCTTACTAATTATAAAAGCAAATGTTTGTATGGATGGATGATTGTTACAAGGTATTCTAGAATGGCTGCATGTATCTCGTTGAATAAGGCATAGATGTAGAATCTAGTCTGGAAGAACACATAGACTACTAAAGTTTTTTTTTTAATTCCTCGCGACAGGAGTCGTGTGTGACAGCTTGTAAAATAAACTTTCACACTTTTAAATCATTAAGATAGATTTGTTTCTAAAATTTATATTTTTAATACCAACCGAAAAATTATTATAAAAGTCAAGTAGTAATAAAAACATTTCCTTCAACAATTAATAACAAAATCTGTTGAGAAGAGTGTTTAAATAATTATGAATACAAAGTAATAAATGTCATCGATGTCATGTTATGTAAAAAACATGGTTTAGCATAGCGCCGCGCCGGCGGCCTTCGACGGGCAAAATTAATTATGCGGTGAAAATAATCGCTCAGTGTGTCTGCTTAACATATCGATAATGAGAAATTAACGCGTTCTAGTTTTTATAACACTAAATAGCAACTGCAAAAAGAAACGACAGCAACCTATAAAAAAGCAGCAATGGTTAGATGCAATGAAAAATAATGGAGAAAGTTTGGATAATCTCTTTTATGGTAAAAATGCCTTTGAATGTGGATCAAACAGTATGTAATAAAAAAACATGACACTTGATTAAAATGGTACACAAGCCGGACGCACCGCACGCACAGCCCGCAACGGATTTTAGTTTGCGTTGTATGATTTAACATAGCGATGCGATGCAAAGCAAATTTATTTAATCCGTGCGTGCGGTGCGTCCGGAACGGGATAATGGACGCGTACCTTAAAACAGTCTTTTAGGAAATAAGACTCCGAATTCTTCTTAACTATTAATAATAATAATAATGTTTGAGTCATGGGATTCCGCAGCCGGTGGTGTTCTCTTTTTAATATATATATATGAAATGTATTATATTAGAAATGTGATAAATAAATGTATATCGTTTTAAAATAATAATTCTTATATAACTTTTTCAATGATATTACCAGGCAACACATTAAATGCTACAGGATTTTTACGTAATTGCTAAGGTGGGAGGCAGTGACATTGAATGTGTTAACAGTGCGTGGGTCATAAATCCAGTGATATTGAAGTTATACGATAAATTATTGTTAACTGTATTATTTGATAGCGAATAAGGTCGGACGAACAGGAAAAAGTTGAAATACTGTTCCTTTGATAAAATATTAAATATTTCTGTTAAAATTATCTACATATGAATTGTAATCATATGATAAAATTTATGAATAATAACACACGTGAATTGGATTTACAAATTTTATTGAAAATATAGCTGTTTACCTTAATCTCTTATTTGCTAGTATTTTTATGATAATTTACAGGGAAGTCCCTTTACTTTACACGTAAGATAATAAATTAAAATATTTTTTTTATTACTCTTATTAATAATCTATAGTTCATCCCTATTTGAATATATCTTTATATATATAATTCTCCTGTGAGTGTGTATGTCACTGAACTTCTCTCAAACGACTGGACCGATTTTGATGAAATTTTTTGTGTATGTTAAAGGGGATTTAGGAATGGTTTAGATTCACAATTTTTATCAAATATTATTATAACTTCATAATAATTTATTCAAATTAAAGACGTGTAGACAGGACAACGTCTGTCGGGTCCGCTAGTAATACATATAAAAATTTCGTATCACGTTGTATGTTCGCGA